TTTTTTTTTTTTTTTTTTTTTTTTTTTTTTTTTTTTTTACTTTGGAACACATTCTCTAACACATATGCTTGAATTATAGGCATTTCAAGAAGATCTGGAGCAGGAACAAGTCAAGGTGAATTCTCTAACCCATATGGTGGTGGTCGTGGATGAAAGCAGTGGAGACAGAGCTACTGCTGCACTGGAAGAGCAGCTTCAGGTAACGACTAAATGGCATGGCTCCCAAAAAAATCGAAATAGGAACTTTTTAAAATAATCAAAACCAGATAGTGAATGTGTACAGGATCTTAATTTGTCGTCAAATAATGATTATCAAGAAATATCAAGAATATATTGTTCTTTCTAAAGCATTTTGAGAGGAAAGTCGTAATTTATATCCCATTATTTTCTCATGGCCATGTTTCTTAGGAAATGAAGGGAATTATCTCTCAGTTGTGTTTTCTAAACACAATTACTTGAGTATYTATAAAAGAATGACACATTGGAGATACGTTTGTGATAGAGATAGCCACCAAGATATTCTGAAAGTTTGTCAAATATTATCTTACTTGTAATAAAAGTTTGCTGTTTCATTTGCATCTTTTAAAAGCTGCTGTATTATTTATATTCCAGTGTTCTTACTATAACTTCTGAATGAAATTGGATAAATAAAGTGGATAATTAACGTTGGGGTGCATCAAAGGAGGGTTCTCTTTTGTTGGTGGTCAGATATCCAGGGACACAGCTCAAGAGGAATTGCAATATTACAACCAAGATTCCTGCTATTTTTCTCTTTCAAAAGGAGAAAGTGTTTTTCTTTCATTTTGCTTCATTACCCAAGAAAATAAATGTTTGTGGGTTTTAAATCAGTAAAACCCAAGGTTTCTCTAGAGAAGCTATCAATACATTCAGCCAGAAGGTATAGCTATARCACAGACAGATACCTGTGTGCTGTCTCAAATTTAGCTAATTTGGGTACCAATACCAGTAAATCAGTAATTGGTTTGAAATTTAGAGTAGGTTTGGCTAAGATGCAGAGCACTACCACTTTAAAAATAAATGTTTTCTCTACTGCAGCTACTTAGTCATTCAAGGAGCACAACCCAGCTAAAACAACAATACAGCCTTTACTGATCCATAATTATTAATTTCTTTTGACTTCATCCTTAGTGTCAGAACTGTGGTGTACCTGCTCAAAATAGTCTTATCCTYCCACTATTTCTTGCCAGCCAACTCTTTGGAACTCTCTGTGGAATAAAACAGATCCCTATCAAGAACATGCCTCCAGGAGCTAAACTAAACTTGTAAAATATCTTGAATGAAAAAGAAAGAAAATTATTGATGGTATTTACAGCACTTCATGAATTAGAAAATGTAGAAATGAGGGGGTTTTTTGTGTGAAAAGCAAATGAAAGTTTGGTGGATTATTAGACATTTAATCTGATTTCACATCTTCAGAAGGAAGAATTAAGGGAACGCCAGGTAACACTGCTTCATCCCATATTATTACAGGACTGCAAAGGCACCATTAGTATCCTGTGCAGCATCATGGGTGGCTGACCCATATTGGAATAAAACTTAAAACAGAACTCAGACATTACTGCAATGCCTTAAAGAAACATAATGAATGATGAATGTAAATGAAACACAGTGGGAATACAACATTTGTAACTGTTTAGTGGAGAAAGCACCCGTTATTTGGATGAAGTGTGCCCAATTATTCTGTCTTGGAAAAGGTATATTCCTTGAATGAAGCTAGCAAGACAATTCCTGAGTCCCCTCACCCTACAGACTTCCTCTGAGCAGAGCATGGGGTGGTGTGGAACAGTCCATTTGCACTTCTGTTCTCACCTTGAATCACACCCTCTKCCAGAAGAATCTGAAACAAAAGTTAATAATCCCATTATTCTGGAAATCAAATAATATGTAGCAATATTACAGATGTTAATAAAACCCGAATACAGATAAAAAGCTATCGTGTTTAGAGTGTTAGGGAGTTGTTGAAACTTTAATATCTTAATGCCCAGAGTAACTGAGTTACCATAGTCCACCTACCCTTCTAGAGAAATGTTGCACCRCCTTTTTTGTGTACAGAAACTGTTTGGAATTTCCTTTTTCTCCGTATCACTTGCAGCCTGAATATAAGCAAAGGAGATAAAATGTGTTGACAGGCACAACCATTAGAGCATTTGACAAAAAGCACAATGGAGCAAAGTTTCAAGCTTGATTATGTATCTGTCAGTCTGACTTCTAAAGCTAGAACAAAACAAGAGCATGAACTGTCAGACAAAAGAGCTTAATAAGACTGGCTCACTGAGATACTGGTCAGGATGAGGTTAGGAAGAAAATAAGCAGTTATTTCCATKTAATAGTCAGAGGCATTTTCCAAGCAGATGCAATTCAGTTGTGCTTTTCTTTTTGAGATGGTGATTCCTGTAATATTTTCATATACATAAATATCTATGTATGTATTGTATTTGTATCCAAGTAYTGTATATTGTATCCAAGTGTCTGTATAAGATGATTTTTTAAAGCTTAGAATGAACCTTTTGAGATTTTAAGTCTCAGAAGGGTTGACAAGAATCTACACTGACTTGAAATGAACAAAGTTCCTAAGTTTTATTGCCTATGCAAAAATGTCCCTATTCAAGAGGCAGTTAATGGCATAGAAGCCAAAAACATCCCCTGAAACAAATTATCCATTGAAAATGTAAATTTTATAAATTTTGCTTGGAAAAATAAACATAATTTCAGGGCTTTTCTTAGAAACAGCTGTACCCCTAAGGTACTTTGAGAGACTGGAGCTAGACTGGGTGAGTGTGAATATGAAAACTACTTTTACACTCCTTTGATTACTTAAGGTATCAGTGTGTGACATGTTGAGAGGCTCCATTTATGCTGCTATTGAGAACYAACTATTCAGACTTAAAATTCTGAGACCCCAATTAAACCCAATCCAAGGATTTACCAAGCCAGCTGCTGAATAAGGTTCAAATCTATATTTAGTGCTGCAAAATCAAAGGACRTTAGTGGAAGATCTGTTTCTGTACTCTGAGTTTTTTTTCTACAGGAAAAATGTGGCAAATTATCTTCAGGCCAGAGAAATGGCTGGATAATACACAGAAGCCATGAATACTGGGAGATTTTTTTCCTAATTATACCCAGTAGACAGCAGGTCTCTTAAGGATCTTGTGGGCTGGCTCAAATTAGAGGTTTCCCCAGGCTTCAGGGGTTGGGGTTGGTGCTAGAAAGAAATCTGTATTAAGTGTATCAAATGCTACTTGATGACTTAYTCCCCTGCTGAGGGAAAGGAACAGAGAGTGTAATTTCCAGGATTATATATTCATATTATTCAGGGTACTATCCTTTGATTGAAGATGATATATGGGTAGTTCTTGCAAAAATACATCAAAATAGGTAAGGAATGTTAAAGAATGAATAGACTATTTCAGTTGACTCGCTGAGCACTTAATGACAAGAAGTTATGATGTCCTACAAACTCCAGGGATTTCCAAGACCTGCTCATCCCAAGAGTGTGATATTTCTGGTCAATGCCAGAGGTTGAAAACCCCCACAAGGGTAAAGGTTACCAATCTAGAAATTTCTCCTAATTGTGTGTRGAACAACCCAGAGGTCTTTACAGACTGAGCAGCCTGCAGTTCTCCATCCCAGAACTCCAGTCCTCGGACTCCTTCCACCAAATCTCATTAATAGCAGAGATGTCATGGCTGTGGGACCTGACCAGTGCTTCCAGTTCATCCTGGTTGTTTCTCCTGCTCTGTGGGTTGGTGTATGGAATGTTGACCATTTCAGAACTGCACACAAAACTTATTGTTATAYAGTAGAGATTCTATGAAAGGGTTAAATATTTTGTTTTAAAGAATTAATTTTGGATATAGACAAAAGCATTTATCCCGTTTCTCTCATTATTTTAAAAAGTGGATGGCTGTACCTGATTAGAAAAGGATTTTTTCAAATAAACCTCATTCGTTGCAGGCTCAAAGTACCTTATTTCACTTCAGTGTTCCTGAGAGTTTTGTTTGTTTTACTCATTTTCTCCTATTCTTATGCTTCCTTACTTTGACCTTTTAACAGACTAGAAATAAGTCATCTTCTGCTTTTGATAGCCATAAGGAATATTCCTTCAGTGTCCTTTGAGTAGAAAAAAAAAAATAAAAATCAATCTTCTTTTGTTTGCAGATTTCTCTAAAAATTCAAGTTAAGGCTGCAAGAAAAGCCCTAGATTTTCTTAGAGGGCACTTTACTTGTTAGTATGGATTCAGTCAGTTTCTCTGAAGATTTGTTTTGCCAGGTGTTAGAATGAAATTACTTGGTGTAGTCTGAGTTTTTGAGCATCACTCAGGCTCCTCTTTCATGTGAATAGAGAGTTGAAGTTGAGCGCATATGATTTAGTGTAATAACAGCTTTATAAATAACAGTCCTTTCAGACTTGGAACTCCATGTCTAGATATTCAATCAGTGTATCTTGGTCTCATGATCGTTATGACCTCTCATGAGAAATAACTAGATTTAAGGTT